TGAGAACATTTAGCTGCTTCTGAGAACCTTTAGCTGCTTCTGAGAACCTTTAGCTGCTTCTGAGAACCTTTAGCTGCTTCTGAGAACCTTTAGCTGCTTCTGAGAAAATCTAGCTCAAATTTGAGAACCTTTTGCTGGTTCTGAGAATCCTTTGCTCAGTTGTGAGAACCTTTTACTGGTTTTGAGAACATTTTGCTGCTTCTGAAAACATTTAGCTGCTTCTGAGAACATTTTGGTAGTTCTGAGAACATTTAGCTCAGTTCTGAGAAACCTTCGCTCGGTTCTTAGAACCTTTTGCTTGGTTCTTCTGAGAACCTTTTGTTGGTTCTTAGAACCTTTTCCTCAGTTCTGAGAACCTTTTGCTGGTTCTGAGAAAATCTTTGGCTCAGTTATGAGAACCTTTTGCTCAGTTATGAGAACCTTTTGCTCGGTTCTGTGAACCTTTTGCTGCTTCTGAGAACCTTTTGCTTCTTCTGAGAACCTTTTGCTTCTTCTGAGAACATTTTGGTAGTTCTGAGAACATTTAGCTCAGTTCTGAGAAACCTTCGCTCGGTTCTTTGAACCTTTTGCTTGGTTCTCCCCCAGAGATGAAAATCAAAGAATCTACACAAATCAGCAGAACCTTCTGGTTCTTTAAATGTCCAAACTGTGAGAACCACACTGAGCATCGTACAGATAAATCTTCCCTCCTGGTGAATTTTGACTTGAAGCAGCGCCCCTCTGTGGTTCTGTTCGGTAAACACACCCAATTGGATAAAAACTCTGCATTCTCAAAGTGTGGCGGCGCACCGAAGCTTTGAGACTTCCGTTTCATTTATAGTCGCTATTTTTAGTCAGATGTTCGTGCTTTTATAGGAAATTACTTTTGACTGCATGGAAAAAGAAAATGACGCCCCCTTCTGGTGGAAATAGGTCACCACCAACCAGGGGCGCATTTTTAGAAACTATTCATAAGAAGTTAGGATTTTAAAACCTTGGAAGTTTTCCAGTTGTGAATATCTTCATCAAACAGTGCAGGTTAAACATGGAGATATTCATCCACTGATGCCATCCAGTCCTCAGCAGCTGTTCCAGAGATCACAGCTGGATGTTTATTTTACGTTCAGGCTGACTGATCTCTGTAATCCTGCCGCCGTTTCCATTAAAGTTCTGTTTTCTCCACTGAAGGGATGTACTTGGTATCGAAGTACATCAGGGAGAAGACGGACAGCGTGGTGATCTTCTCTGGAGAAGGATCTGATGAGCTGACTCAGGGATACCTTTACTTCCACAAGGCAAGTTTGCTCCGACCTTTGACCTTTGCTCCTCTACCATCAGCTTTTAATAAATAATCGTCCGTTTGGGCGGAAAAAAAGGAGAATTTAGGGGACGTTTGTCTGGAAAAGGCACCAACCTGGTAGAGATGATGATGTTTTAACATCACTTCTATGGGCCGTATTCAGTATTACTCTTTAATCCCAAATCCTCTAAAAACAAAAGTTTAATAAAGGAGTTCCAATCTACGAGCAGGAAGAAATAAAGCAGTAGGCTAGCAGAGTAAGAGAACGCAGGTTTGACGGCTGATGAAGCTGTTAGCATTGGCGTGTCGCTGCTCCATGTGGCCATTAGTCTGCTCCCATCAGACGGGAATCCATTCAGTTAGCTTTGGTTAGCCTGCCAGTTCGTTAGCGCTCTGCGTCTGTTAGNGTTCGTTAGCGCTCTGCGTCTGTTAGCCTACTAGTTCGTTAGCGCTCTGCGTCTGTTAGCCTGCTCGTTCGTTAGCGCTCTGCGTCTGTTAGGCTGCTCGTTCATTAGCGCTCTGCGTCTGTTAGGCTGCTCGTTCGTTAGCATTGGCTGAGAGGCGTACATGTAGCAGCCACCATGCCGTCACAGTAGGATTGTCTTTACAAACATCGGACAGTGTCAGATAAACGTTGCAGTGATTAGTTTCTGGTTTCTCTGCTGGCCTGGTTGAAACCATCTGAGATGAATAGCAGAGCTGGATCTTGGAGATTCTTCACTCATGGAGTCATTTGTCTCCTCAAGGCTCCAAATGCCAAAGCAGGAGCAGAGGACAGCGTCCGTCTCCTAAAGGAGCTCTACCTGTTTGACGTCCTCCGCGCTGATCGGACCACAGCTGCTCATGGGTAAGTCCTGTCAGAGCCCAGCGTTAAGCAACCTTTCTATGATGAGGCGTGACCAAAGAGTCTCTGTGCCGTTAGGGGCAGTTAGGGATGCATGGCCCTGCAGGTAAACGGGTCTTATTCCCTTAGCCCTGAAGTCTTATCTCTAATTTTCTGGATTGTTCGGTGGTATCTGCTAAATATAGCGCTTTAGTCGCTATATTTAGCCACTTTTCAGACCCCTCTAGCACTTTGATTTCTAAAAAGCTCCTAGCG